TCTATTTATTAATTACTACCTTCCATTTATTTGGTTATTCTTTTCCTAACTTATATATTTTAATTTTTTTCTGTGTTTTCTTTTTATTGCTCTATAACTATGGATATTCCCGTAAGCACTTCTTTGGCTGTATCTCATAGGTTTTCTTGAAGTTGTTTTTTTAATATTCTGCAGTTGGTCCATATAATTGTGGGTTTATTTCTGGGTTTTCCATTGTATTCTATTGATCTATGTATCTATTTTCATGCCAGTACTATACTGTTTTAATTACCTTTAATATAACTTGAAATCTGGAATTGTAATACCTCCAAGTTTTGTTCTTTTTCAAGACTGCTTTGTCCATTTGGGGTCTGGTTTTTTGCGGTTCCATACAAGTTTTAGAATTATTTGTTCTAGTTCTGTGAAAATGCTTTTGGTATTTTGATAGGGATTGCATTAAATCTGTAGAGTGTTTTGAGTAATACATTTTAACAATATTGTTTTTCCAATTCATGAGTATGGAATGTCTTCCCATTTCTTTGCATATTCTTGAATTTCTTTCATCAGTGTTTTATAGTTTTTGGAGTAGAGGTCTTTCACCTCTTCAGTTAAGTTTTATTCCTAGATATTTTATTGTTTTGGTACAACTGTAAATGGGATTGCTTTCTTAATTTCACTTTTTGCTGCTTCATTCTTATGTATAGGAATGCAACAAATTTCTGTACATTGACTTTGTAATCAACAAAGGAGGACTGAATATATACAGTGGGAAACTGACAGCTTTTTCAACAAATGGTGTTAGAAAAACTGGAAAGCCACATGCAAAACAATGAAACTGGACCACTTTCTTTCATCGTACACAAAAACAAAGTTGATATTGATTAAAGACCTAAATGTGAGACCTGAAACCATGAAACTGCTAGAAGAGAGACAGGTAATAATCTCTCTGACATCAGCCATAGCAACATTTTTCTAGATATGTCTCCTGAGGCAAGGGAAATAAAAGCAAAACTGAACTATTGGGACTACATCAAAATAAAAAGTTTCTGCCCAGCGAAGGAAACAATCAACAAAACTAAAAGGCAACCCACAGAATGGGAGAAGATATTTACAAATGACATATCCGATAAAGGGTTAATATCATATAAAGAACTGATATAACTCAACCTAAGAAACAGATAATCCAGTTAAAAATGGGCAGAAGACATGCACAGACATTTCTCTAAAGAAGACATACAGATGGCCAACACATACTTGAAAAGATATTCAGTATCACTCATTATCAGGGAAATGCAAATCAAAACTACAATGAGATATCATCTCATACCTGTCAGAATAGCTAAAATCAAAAACACAAGAAAGAGGTGTTGGTGAGAGTGTGGAGAAAAAGGAACCCTCTTGCACTGTTGATGGTAATGCACACTGGTGCAGCCACAGTGGAAAACAGCATGGAATTTGCTCAAAAAATTAAAAACATAACTATACTATGATCCAGGAATTGCACTGCTGGGTATTTACCCCAAAAATACAAAAAGGTATACATGCACCCCTATGTTTACTGCAGCATTATTTACAATAGTCAAACTATGGAAGCAGCCCAGTGTCCACTGATAGATGAATGGATAAAGAAGATGTGGTATATATACACAATGGAATATTATTTTTCCATAAAAAATGGTATCTTGCTATTTGCAATAACATGGATAGAGCTAGAGAGTATAAAGCAAAGCAAAATAAATCAGAGAAAGACAAATACCATATGATCTCACTCATATGCGAAATTTAAGAAATAAAACAAGCAAAGGAAAAGAGAGAGACAAACCAAGACTCTAAACTATAGAAAATAAACGGATGGTTACCAGAGGGGAGGTGGGTGAGGGGGATGGGGAAAATAGGGGATGGGATTAAAGAGTACACTTACCATGATGAAAAATAAAATAAAATTAAATCCTGAAAAAAAATCTGCACTTCATGTGCATCTTCTCTTTGACACAAAAGTTGTTTAATAAATTTTAAATTTCTAGGTAGAAGAAATTTTGGTTTCAGATTTTGCTCCTATTTTCTTTACTGTATGTTAATAAGACAACCTTATCTGTTCTGTTTTTACGTTTTAGAATTTTTCTTTGATGTCTGCTATGCCATGTCAAATTTTCATAAATGTTCCATGGCATTGAAGTTATTTTCTTTATTAACATGATACAGACTTCAAGCTATATTAATCAGATTTACCTTGTTATTTATGTTACTTTCTCCCTTGATTTTTTATGAACCAAGATAGGTGAAATAAAAACCGTTTTAATGTTTTAAACTAATGGTAACCATATTATTTCTCCTATAATTTCCTTTTCATGAAAGTTTCACCCTTTAACATTGTGTGTCCTTCTTTATGTTATTTACGGCTTTCTGGCTTGACTTCTAATTTGTCCAATGCTGAGATCATGATTCCTGTTTTTTTCATTTGTATATATGTGGTATAACCTTTAGGTACCCTTTAATTTTCAGCCTTTCTAAATCACTTTATTTTAGTATGTTTCTTGCTTATAGATCTGCATTTTATTACTGTGATGAACTTTTTTTTCCTTAAAATACAAAAACTTTTACATTTATTTTTATGGCAGATATTTGGTGTTAGATATGTCATACTTAATAGATTTTTAAAGATTCCATTACACATATTATTCTTAGTTTTATTTATACAGTTCTTATAAATTCACCAAATTTCTTATCTCTTTAACTGTAAAGGAATAAGAAGGCCTCTATGTGTTTAGAAAGTGTATTTCCCCGTTATGAGCAATGATAAATTCAATATATTTATTCTTAATTTTTCATCTCTCCTGTGTCATCTAATTTTAGTCAGTAAGCGTGTGTTTCTAATATTTCATTTGTAAGGTTCTTATGGATAACCTTTGACTCTTTGGATTTACTCTACTTTCTGTCTTTCCTCAGTCCTTTCCCAATTCGTTATAACTATAGCATTTCTGCATTAATAGGGCCTATAAAAGTAATTTCTGGTCTGTCATTCTAATTCAAACATTTGTTTTAGGCTTAGTTTCACTGTTAAATTCATTCAGTGTTCACCAGTAGTACTTAGCTATAGTGTGTCCAGTCATCCTGACTGGCTGAACTTTGTCCCAGAAATTTTCTCAATAATTATTCAGAAAAACAATTTCTTGTATGGTTAAAAATTGTTTGGCAGCATCCTTTTTACTTAAACGATACTTAGGCTCCCATTTTCTTCACTTCAATGTCCTATGGGTGTTGCTCTGTTTTCTTTATTGAAAAACATTGCAGAAAAGTCTAAAGCCCAACTCAAATTTCCCCCTATTTGCACACTGCTGAAAAAGGATTCTTGACTTACATTTAAATCCAATAGTTTACTTTTGTGCTGACCATTCTAGGAAAATTCTCCCTGGTACACAGCCTGACTTTTTAATATGGATGGCAAAATCTTACATTAGGACTTCACTGAATTATAGCTTTAAATATTTGTTTAGTTCCATTGTTCTGCTTTTCTTATTTGGGAACTCAATTTACACCATTGTCGGAATTTCTGTGCTTTCTATATCAATCATTTTCTCTTTGATCCTTCTGAACTCTTCTATTTCCTTCAATACATATTATTTGCTTTCTTTTCATTTTTATCTTCTGTGTCTCTTACTATGCCAACCACACAATTTATCTTCCTTCAGGCTTCCTCTGATTTCATTTTTATTTGTATAAATTTTTTTTCTTCAACAAAAATAGAAACTTTCCTCCAAAGACTTTTAAAAGTCCATGATCCAACACTTCTGTGTTACATGTCTTCCAACTTCTTGAATTTCTGCTTAGTAGTAATCCTTCCTCAGAGCAATTCATTCCTTACTTTTTAAACTTACAGTAAAATTTCTAATCACAATTATTATGTACTCTATAACAATATTTTTCCAGTGAGTGTTCTCATCTGCAGATTAGTTTTGCTTATCTTTTCCACATTGCTATATTTTTAAATGTGTTTTCTTAGTAATTTTTAAGAGGTTGTATCTAGGGCTAGAATCCTTTATTTAATTTCTCCTAGTCAATTTCTTTTACTTAACCAGTTACATGAGTAGTCCTTCTCTCTTAATATTAAAAGTACATGTGCTTTCACTCTCAGTATTCAATCAACTAGTATATTTACAGTTCCTCATATATTCATAATTCTTTCCTACAATCCAGGCTTTGTTGAACTATTTCCTATATTTGTAATATGTCTATTCTCCTTTACTTGACTATTGATTTGGTAACAAAATAAAAAGCAATCTAGTCTTTCAAACTATTTAGCATGTTAGAGATGTCTTATCTGGATCTTGTGTAGTTTTTATCAGTGTTATCAATAAACTCTTCGTAAATTTAAGCACCAAAAAGAAACAGCAACAGTGAGGTTTTGAGAGGAATCCCATCTAGCAATAATTAAATGATACTTTCTTGGGCTCATTTGTATAGAAAATGAATTTTAAAAAGAATAATTTTGCACTGGACAACATAATATGAAAAACATTCATTATATCAGCAAATGACATTTAAAAGTATCTAAAGTCTGGACTTTAGGGAAAAAAGAAATATTCTAGGATATTTAAATCACAAGAAAAAATAAGCCTCAATGTTAGAAAAAAAATACAAATAATAAAATACTGGCTTAGCATGTAAACAAAAGAGCAAGTCTCATATACATGGTATTCCCTGTCAGGAAAGTTTTCATTAAAATCATATCTATGAAGTGTTTTGTTTTATTTGATGAAATATTTTCTTACATCTTTAAAATGAACAGTATTTTCTTTCAGTAAACAAAAATAAACTATATTATTTAAATTGTGAATTTGTTCTATAATCTATTAATAAACATTCTTTTATAAAAACAGTTTTACAACTTTTACAACAGGAAGCTATTATTTTCTGCTCTAAGATTATTCAAGTCAAATTTCATGTTCCATTAGATATGAAACTACTAAAAATACAATTTCGATAGGTATTTCCACAATTCATTATGAAAAACATCAACTTACTTGTGACCTAAATGCTTCAGAAAGTATCCCAGAACCTTCAGAGCTTGAACCCAAATACTTTCACTTTTAGAAGCCAATAATTTGTAGATTACTCTAAAAAAAATAGAGAAATAAATAAACATTTTAAGCACTTACAAATATTAAAAATATAAGCACTATATACTTTACAATGAATTATAAATATAAAAAATATAAAGTACCTTTCAGGATTTTAAATTCTTTGGAAAAATTAAAAATTAGCACATTTTACTAATATTTCTTTAAACTTGGCCTTCAAATAAATACTCAAAAGTTCAAAGTGATTTGTTGCTCCTAAGTATTGACTTCTAGCATATTGAAAAAAAAATTCTATTTTAAGATACATGCTTAGTTAGGCTGTATTTCCCCTTCTGTTAGAACTGCCCCTGACATTTCTACTTGATGACCGTTTTGTCTTGTTTATAGCTAATTGGACCATGGATAGATACTTGCCCAATTATTTCTCTTTTCTGAGCATTTGGAGTGAGATCTGAGAAACAATATCTAGTACTTTCTGGGCTCTTGAATTAGAAAATTATTTAAAACAGAAACTATAAGGCAGCCTGGTTTTGTTCACAGAGACGAGTCTATACACAAAAGAATAAAGCGACCATATAGGAAGTAGCAGAGAAAGCAAAGTTGTTTCCTTATAGCTTTCCAATTCCTTGTTCTTACCCTAATGAGATTATTCTGTTTTTACTTAAATTGGTTTGAGAAGTTTTCTATTACATGGAGCAAAGAAGTCTCTACTAACATATAACCCAACCTAATATATACAGTCATCTGAATATGATGTAAGAACAGGGCTATAGCCATTATAATTTTCATAAATATTAAAAAATTTTTATCTTGTGTTTTTTCCAAAACTTAAAAGTAAATATTTTTTCTATAAGGTAGTAGGAAACAATAATAATTATATTCTTTTGCAACTAATTCTAGAATTTAAGAAAGTTCTTTGAAGGTGGTAGTGGTGACTATAAAATTAGGATGTACTTTATTGTATTAAGTCTTTTTTAAAAATAAAGTGTCATTTTATGTTTCAAGATGAAGTAACTGAGGCTAAACAAAAAGTTGGTATTAGTAGGTACAGTATAATTTTTATATCGTTTCAGTGGCATTAACAAAAGGGAACAAATTACTTAAAGCTAGTCACGTCTGTTTTAACAGTGGCTTATACTATTAAAAAAGAAAATAAATATTGTTGATATTGCTTTTTATTTGTGTGTTACTCTACTGAAGAACAGACTGAGATAAACATTAGTTACCATTTCCTTTAGATGATTTTTTTCAAAAGCCTCATGTTCCTAAATATGTATTTACATTGAAATCTATCTTCAGAACTTTTATGAACCAAGATCAGTAATTAAAAAAAAAAGGTATGAGAATAGGAAAGTTATACATGCAAGGAAAAGAACTAGTCAGGAAATCATGAGAAAGAACATTCAACAGTAAAAATAATCTTGAGAACCAAAGTAAAAGCTCACAGCCTAAGAAATTTACTGACATATCAGTTAATGACTGTTTACCTGAAATATCATAAGTTAAGTGAATCCTAATTAATCTGCTTGAGCTTACTATATTAAGCCAGCAAATGATCTAAATCACTTGAGACAAGTACTTATGTATTCTTTTTTTTAAGATTTTCAGATATAAAAATATCACATTTTTAGCTGCTCAGTTCAATGTTGTATTATCACATGGTCTTTCTTAAAGCCAGTTAAAATGTCACCAGAATTTTCATTCTTTGCATTCAGTTATTAGTGTATATAAATGACAATTTATCAGAATTTTCCCCAGAAAATATTTTATATATAACTGCTATCCTTGAGTATCTATCTTCTTTCTAAGATACAGACCTTTAAGTGTTCTATCTAATAAGCCTATTTTTTCCATATCTTTAGTCAAAGCCTACATTCTCCACATTTTTTTTGAAATGGAAAAACTGAAGGAGAAAACCTTCCATCTTTGTCACTGTTTTGAACACACTGGTAATAATAGGACATGTTTAGTAGGTTTCAATCATGAGCAACCAGGCCTTGGTATTCATTGTGTCTAATCATTCCACTCATACTATACATATAAATCACTATTTCAGCCCCCTAAAGATCTAACCAATTATCATTCTCCTTTGTAAGATCATATTTTCACTCTGTCAAAGTAATGCAGAATTTTGTGTCTGAATTTCTGTTAACCAATCTAAGCCTGGTATCATTCACAAGGATGATGAGGACATTTTTAATTGATCCACTTATCAGTTGATATAATAAATAAAAGAGATACTAGGATCTAAGGTCAAGGATACTAATTTTTCAGTCTAAATATATTTTAAGAAGAATAACTGTATTTTATGATTAGGTTGAACCAAATATGCCATTATTTAGTAAACAGTTAAGTATCAGCAATTTCATATAGTTCAACCTCATAGTAAGAAAATATTTATAGTTCTTAATAATTAAATGTGTAATTCTCTTCTTCAAATAGAGTAGCAACTCCAAGGTTTGTAAACTCAAAGATCACAGTGATAACTCAAACAGAACAACCAACAAAAATGATGTGATTTTGTAAAAAAAAAAAAAAAAAAAAAAAAAAAAAAGAAAGAAATGATGTGATTGCTTCTCTGATTTGGAAAGAAGTCCTTCAAATCTAGAAAACTGTCATTTGTTGATATAAATGGCCAAGTAAAAGAAGCACTAATAAAATTCCTTTGTAGGTGTATCATTTCCAAATTCTTTTACAAACTGTGGAAGTTCACTGAGTTGCACATGGCTTAAAAGATTTCTCTAAGTCAGAGGGGGAGACGAACCAGGAGAGATGATGGACTCTGAAAAACAAACTGAGGGTTCTAGAGGGGAGGAGGGTAGGGGGATGGGTTAGCCTGGTGATGGGTATTAAAGAGGGCACATTCTGCATGGAGCACTGGGTGTTATGAACAAACAATGAATCATGGAACACTACACCAAAACAAATGATGTAATATATGGTGATTAACATAATAAAAAATTTAAAAAAAAAAGATTTCTTCTTCATTCCAATAATTCAGACTTCAGAAAAATTAAAAAGGAGAATCCCTAAGGGGCTAGATTATAGGCTGAAGTTCATAAGAATACTAATCAAGGAACTATTTTTCACTTACCTACATAATTACTTACAATCATTCTAACTAAACTTAGTCTTCAAACTCTTTTGGTTTTGTCCTCTTGCTCCAACTACATTGCCACTGTCCTAACTCATCGTCCCTAATACTGATGAATAAAATAATCTCTCTACTTATTTTGCTACATCAGTTTTATCCCTCTCCAGTTCATTTTCCACACTGCTGACTATAAATCTAACAAAATGGAAATCTTAGCAAATCAGTACCCCATTCAAAATACTTTTTATCATCATAAACAGAATAAAATCTAAATCTCTTTCTATTATGTGGCCAGTATCTTCCAAATCTGGTCACTATCTAGTTCTTGAGCCTAAATTCATACAATTTTCCTGTGCTCTCTTTTGCTGAAATATACCATGTTTCTTGTCTTCCTACAAAAAAAAAAATTGTTCTTCACACTAACTGAAATATCTTTACTACAGCATCACAATTTAAATACTATTCTTGAGACCAAGACCCATTCTCTAAATAGTTTATCAGCTGGAGTATTAGAAGATTAATACTAGCTTTCTCCATTTATTCCCTTCTTGTGTGTAAGATTTTGCTGTATTTATTCAAAAGTTCCTAGAGTAGGAGTTATTCTAGAAAGCACAACTGTACTCAATTAAAGTCTACTAGTAATGCTAATATTATAATCATACCTTATTCCATTTCTTTGATCAAATGCTGGTATCATTGAGGCTGGGTGTTCTGACATTAAAGCCACTAGTAACTGTAACACATCATGAATATTTTCATCCTGCATATAAGGATCACCAAAAAAAAATTTCTTTAGTTGATATGTTATTCTAGTACTTTGCATAAAATAATTAAAATAGAAGACCCAGACCATGTCCTACCTCATGCATGGTAAGTAGGTAATTTAATATACTCTGAAGTTCATCTTCCTTGACCCCTCGATCCTAATTTAAAAAAATATATATATTTAAATCTAAAACTAAAACTTTAAAGACAGGCATCAAATGATCATTTTAAAAGAAAATAAGAACAACTAAAAGTAGTGATGTTTTCATTAAAATCTTTTAAGTATTTCATAATTCATAGACTATATTATTTCTACTTAAATAAGTAAATATTTGGAAAACTGTATCTAGTCTTTTAAGGCCAATATTTGATTGATCATCACTATCAAAAGTAAGTATATTTTGATCATCTAACTTCATATTACTATTTTCTAACCATTTATTCTTTTTTAAAATAATGCAAAACTTTATAGAACCAATTGATGTATATTTTACCTTTATTTTCCATTTTTCTTTATCTTAATCTTTTAAAAATCCTACTGTGATAAAATACATAATGTAAGTCTTCTCATACAGGTACACAGACCATTTTCTGGAATAAAACTTTATGCTCATATCTTATGCATATGTTCCTTGTCCATTTCCTATACCTCTTAAAATGGATGATCTCAAAGAGGATTAACAAAAAGTGAAGTTTAATGAAAGTTAACCCTAAGACTTACTTTAGGATTTCGAAAGCTATTCATAAATGAAAAATAGTTACTGCTAATTTTACAATATTGATTTTAAACAATGTCAAAAATTCCTCTTCATCTAATATATTGCAATTCTAAATAATGTAAAATTATTTTACCTTTAGTATGAGCTGTTTCAGAAAAAGTAGCATAAATGCCCGTAGTGATATAATTTCCTTTTGTGATGGCCGGGGACCATCTAGAATAAAACAGAAAACATAAAGAAAAAAAAAAGCAAAAAAAACCATGATACTAAATAAGCTTAATGCAATTATGTTGGAATACTATGGAATTCTTTACAAGTTGTATTTATTAGGATTATAATATTTGTTAGTATTAATGCTATACCATTTCAATTATATCAGAGGATTCAAACATTAAGTTTCAGATTTTGGTAATTTCAAATTATTCACCAAATGTCAGATTTGGGGAAAAGAATTACTTTTTATTTTTTTTTAAGATTTTTTTATTATTTATTTATTTGAGAGAGAGAATGAGAGACAGAGAGCATGAGAGGGGGGAGGGTCAGAGGGAGAAGCAGACTCCCTGCTGAGCAGGGAGCCTGACGTGGGACTTGATCCCGGGACTCCAGGATCATGACCTGAGCGAAGGCAGTTGCTTAACCAACTGAGCCACCCAGGCGCCCAACAATTACTTTTTAAAAAATTATAACATAGTACCATCCATTCATAAGTGTATAATCATCAAGTGTTCACACAACTTTTCCTACTTTTATTAAATTAATAGGTTCCCTTTTCCCCCAAATCCAAGTTTTCCCAACATTTCTTTCATCTTAATTAAACCTTTCTTCACTTAAAGACCATCTCCATTTTCACACCACAAATTATATAACAAAGCGCAGAAAAAGTGACACTCCATTTTAATTATTTGCTTTGTAGTTTTTTTTCCCCTTGTTACTTGTATATACCAAATATGTATTATAGTGGAAACTCAAAAAATTCTCGAGTCAATAAATGAAAATGAATGTGAATAGTTTAAGTGTACATATCAATTCCATAACACCTAAATTTCAAAGTAATTAATTGCAAATATTTAATTACCAATAAATGAGATTATTCAATATATATAATATATATAATATACATAGTATACAATAATTAAATTATACCTTTAACTATGTAACTAGAACTACGAAAGCCCTTAAATATCAAGTATTTCTTGAAGCAATGAGGATTTATACAGCTTCTTTATAAGTTTTAAAATAAAAATCCCTATATGTATAATATATAACATCTTTTATTCACTCAACAAATATTTACATGCAAATTATTACTCAAAAAATCCATTCCATCTACTCTTGAAAAAGAAATCTCTTTCTCATTTCCCAGACTGCTCTCTACATTTTTGGCTCCACTATTGCCAATAGTGTACAAAATACCCTTTCCTTCCTTACCAACACTTGGTATTAATTTTTTAAAAATGATTTTCATTGTGGGGGAGCCTGGGTGGCTCCGCTGGTTAAGCATCTGACTCTTGATTTTGGCTCAGGTCATTATCTCAGGATCATGAGACTAAGCCCTGCATCCCGCTCTGCGTTGAGCATAGAGCCTGCTTAAGATACTCTCTCCCTCTCTCTCTGACCCTCCCCATCTGTTCGTGCTATCTCAAAAAAACCCTGTTTTTCATTGTGAAATATAGCACACATACAGAAGATGTAAATGTACAAACTAATGAATTGGCATAAAATGAACACCTGTATAACCACTCTTTAGGTCAAGATACTGAACGCTGACAGTAACCTGGCAGAGAAACCCATTAACGATTGGTATGCAAGTAAAGGAACTACATGAGTGGAGGGGTGAGGTCCTAATATGAATCAAATTAAATAATTGCAGATTTCTGATTTGTGTTGTGTAAATATAACCACTACTGACTAAATTCAAGCTCAGGCTACCAATAGTTTAAAAACCAGGTTGTAGAGAGGGGAGCAAGATGGCAGAGGATTAGGAGACCCAGATTTCATCTGGTCTCAGGATTTCAGGTGGAAAGGGATCAAACCATTCTGAACACCTACAACTCAACAGCAGATGGAAGAAAAGAATAGCAACAACTCTCTGAACAGAAAAGCGACCACTATCTGGAAGGTAGGAAGTACGGAGAAGTGAATCCTAGGCGATATTCAGGAGGATGGATGGCGGAGGTGGGGCCTCCATGGGGTCATTTCTGGCAAATGATAGAGCCCTGGAGCACAAAATCGTAACTTTTAGAAGTCTGCTCCGCTGGGGGACGTGCTCCAGTGGCTAAGCGGTGGGTGGAACCCTTGCTGGGAAAGTGCGGTCTCCGGACCCTCGGGGTCAGAGAAAAACCGGGGTGCCTGAGAGTGGCAGAGCTCCCAGGTGTTGGAGCAGGGAAGCTGGCTACAGAGACTGAGCCAAGGAGTGGGCTCTCAGCTCGGGGTTGCCATAAACCGTGATCCGAAGCACAGCTGAGCCACTGCTCTACCAGCAGGGACCCAACAAGGGGCAGACCCGGGGAGAATCCCCTTCCCCTGGAGACTCCACACGGAGTCGGGTGGCAGAGATAGAAATGCTCGGTCACAGGCCGGGTAAGCATGGGGAGTGCGGCCAGAGACCAGGGAGACGGGAGTGACTGCTTTTCTCTGGGGGTGCACTGAGGAGTGGGGACCTGCGTTCTCGGCTCCTCCGGGGCAGAGATTGGGAGGCTGCCATTTTCATGCTGGTCCTCCAAAGCTGTTCGGAAAGCTTGCAGGAACAAAAGCTCCGGAAAACAAACCAGAGATTACTTAGCCGGACTGGCAAGGGCGGAGCGATTCCGCCTCCGGCAAAGACATTTGGGAACCAGGGCAACAGGCCCCTCCCCCAGAAGATCAGCAAGAACAGCCAGTCAAGACCAAGTTTACCAATCAATGTAAATGGCAGAACTCCAGCGCTAGGGGAATACTGCACATATCATTCATGGCTTTTTTACCATGATTCTTTAATCTTTCAAAGTTCATTTTTTTAACTTTTTTTTTAAATTTTTCTTTTTCCCTTTTTCAACCATCTTATCAATCCCTTTTTTAAAAAATCTTTTTTATTTTTCATTTTTAGAGTCATATTCTATCCCTTCATAGTAGTTACCCTTATTTTTGGTATATATAGATATCTATCTATCTATCTATCTATCTATATATATTGTTTTCTCTTTAAAATTCTGAGATACAGTTTCTTCTAACAGATCAAAATATACCCTAAATCTCTATAGTGTATGGCTTTGTTCTAGTCTCCTGCCTGATCACATTCTCTCCCTTTTTCTTTTTTAAATCCTCTTCTTTCTTTTTTCAACCAACTTCTTATCAATTCCTTTTATAAAATCTATAATCTATAATTTTCATCTTTACAATCATATTCCATCCCTTCATCATATTAACCCTTACTTTTGTACATATATAAGCTTTTCTTTCTTTAAAATTTCGGGAGGCACTTTCTTCTAACAGACCAAAATACGCCCAAAATCTAGTGTGTAGCACTGATCTATGCAGCAGCCTGATCATATTTGATCATATTCTGTTTTGTTTTGTTTTTGTTTCTTTGTTTTTATCTAATTCTTTTTTCTTTCTTTCCCTTTCTTTTCCCCTGGTTTCAGGTCTTTTCTGATGTGTTTAGAGTATATTTTCTGGGGACGTTGTTACCCTGTTAGCATTTTGTTCTCTCATTCATCTATTCTCCTCTGGACAAAAGGGCAAGATGGAAAAAATCACCTCAACAAAAAGAACAAGAGGCAGTACCGACTGCCAGGGATGTGCTCAATACAGACATCAGTACGATGTCGGAATTAGAGTTCAGAATGATGATTTTAAAGATACTAACTGGGCTTGAAAAAAGCATGGAAGTATTAGAGAAACCCTTTCTGGAGAAATAAAAGAACTAAAATCTAACCAAGTTGAAATCGAAAAGGCTATTAATGAGGTGCACACAAAAATGGAGGCTCTAACTGCTAGGATAAATGAGGCGGAAGAGAGAAGTAGTGATATAGAAGACCAAATAATGGAAAATAAAGAAGCTGAGAAAAAGAGATAAACAACTACTGAATCACGAGGGCAGAATTCGAGAGATAAGTGATACCATAAGACGAAACAACATTAGAATAATTGGGATCCCAGAAAAAGAAGAAAGAGAGAGAGGGACAGAAGGTATACTGGAGCAAATTATAGCAGAGAACTTCCCTAATTTGGGGAGGGAAACAGGCATCAAAATCCAGGAGGCACAGAGAACACCTCTCAAAATCAATAAAAATAGGTCAACACCCCAACATCTAATAGTAAATCTTACAAGTCTCAGAGACAAAGAGAAAATCCTGAAGGCAGTTCGGGAAAAGAGATCTGTAACCTACAATGGTAGAAACATTAGATTGCCAACAGACTTATCCAGAGACCTGGCAGGCCAGAAAGGACTGGCATGATATATTCAGAGCACTAAACGAGAAAAATATGCAGCCAAGAATACTATATCCAGCTAGGCTGTCATTGAAAACAGAAGGAGAGATAAAAAGCTTCCAGGACAAACAAAAACTAAAGGAATTTGCAAACACAAAAGCAGCCCTACAAGAAATATTGAAAGGGGTCCTCTAAGCAAAGAGACAGCCTAAAAGCAACCTAGACCAGAAAGGAACATAGACAATATACAGTCACAGTCACCTTACAGGCAATACAATGGCACTAAATTCGTATCTTTCAATAGTTACCCTGAATGTAAGTGGGTTAAATGCCCCAATCAAAAGACACAGGCTATCAGAATGGATAAAAAAATAAGACCCATCAACATGCTGTCTGCAAGAGACTCATTTTAGACCCAAAGACACCCCCAGATTGAAAGGGAGGGGGTGGAAAACCATTTACCATGCTCATGGACACCAAAAGAAAGCTGGGGTGGCAATCCTCATATCAGACAAATTAGATTTTAATCCAAAGGCTGTAATAAGAGATGAGGTAGGATACTATATCCTACTTAAAGGGTCCATCCAACAAGAAGATCTAACAATTGTAAATATCTATGCCCCTAAAATGAGAGCAGCCAATTATATAAGCAAATTAATAACAAAAGCAAAGAAACACAACGACAACAATACAATAATAGTGGGGGACATTAACACCCCCCTCACTGAAATGGACAGATCATCTAAGCAAAAGATCAACAAGGAAAAAAAGACTTTAAATGACACACGGGACCAAATGGACTT